ATTTTCCTCCGAAGAAATATTTTTGAGATTCATACTCCCACTAATGTTTTCATCCTCTAAGAACACGGCATTTCTAGTTTCAACAATTCTAGTGCTATGAGTGGGACAATAGAATCTAAAACCCTTTGATCTCTCAGGATATCCAATGAAATAACAACTTATAGTTCTAGGGTCTAATTTCTTTATTTGTGGGTTGAAAATTTTTTCTTCAGCAGGACAACCCCATACATGTAAATAATTCAAATTAGGTTTCCATTAACCCATAACTCATAAGGAGTTACAGGCACAACCTTACTAGAAATCCTATTAAGAACATGTACATCAGTTTTAAAAGCTTCACTCCACAAGAAATCTGGCATAGAAGTGTTACTCATCATGCTTTGAGCAATTTAAAGTGCTCTGTGAGGAAAAAGGAGTTATCAGGCAATTGACAATTCCTAAGACTCCGCAGCAAAATGGTGTAGCGGAGAGAAGGAATTGCACATTGCTTGACATGGTTAGATCAATGATGGCGCAAGCTAATTTTCCCATTTCTTATTGGGGAGATGCTTTATTGACTGCTGCCTACGTCCTTAACCGTGTGCCCTCCAAATCAGTTCCTTCCACCCCATATGAGATGTGGACTGGCAAAAAGCCTGATTTGGGCAATTTGCGGCCTTGGGGTTCGGCAGCTTACATACACAACGCTTCTCATAAGTTTGGGAAGTTGGGCCCTAGAGGAAAGAAGTGTATCTTCATTCGCTATAGTGAGCATTCTAAGGGCTATGTGTTTGTTGGGGAGCATCCGAATGGAAGTGTGACTGAAATTGAGTCGCGAGATGTGGATTTCCTAGAGGAGGATTTCCCTAGCAGAGGTGAGGTAACTAGAGAAGTAGAATTCTACGAGATGGAGGATCTACTTGAAGGCGCACCTAGTAGCTTAGTAGAGAATGAGGAAATAATTCCTCAAGCTCCTAGGGACAGTGGGAGCGATCTACTTACCCATGGATTGGATCCAATGGATGAGGATTCTCAACTACGTAGAAGCAAACGTGGAGCTATACCCCGTCGTCGTTTTGAGATTGAAGGGGAAGCATTCATGATTGCTCCGAGTGATGAGATGGAGCCTAAGAATCTCAAAGAGGCTCTCTCATCCCCTGCTAGTAAAGAATGGAGTACTGTAATGGATGAAGAAACAGAGTCTATGAAGAAAAATCATGTCTGGGACTTGGTTGATTTGCCGCTAGGGCGCAAGACTATTGGGAACAAATGGGTTTTCAAAATGAAGCGCAAGGCGGATGGTTCCATAGAAAGGTATAAGGCTCATCTAGTGGCGAAAGGTTACACCCAACGAGAGGGTGTGGACTATGAGGAAACTTTTTCACCAGTTGTAAGGTTTGCCTCTATTCGCCTAATCCTGGCCATAGTAGCTCAGTTGGACTTAGAGTTATATCAGATGGATGTTAAAACTGCATTTCTCAATGGAGAATTGGATGAAGAGATCTATATGGATCAACCAGAAGGCTTTGTAGCAGTAGGTCAGGAGCGCAAAGTTTGCAAGCTTCAACGATCTATTTATGGCTTAAAGCAATCATCCAGACAGTGGAATCTGAGATTTCATCGAGCCATTGTTTCTAATGGGTTTACAATGATTGATGAAGATCACGGTGTGTACGTTAAGCGGTCCAAGGACATTTTTTTAATATTGTCATTATATGTAGATGACATATTATTGGCTGGAAATGACAAGGAGATGATTGTCGCCACTAAAATGTGGTTGTTCTCTACATTTGAGATGAAGGACATGGGTGAGGCGAGCTATGTGCTCGGTGTTAAGATCCTTAGGGATCGCTCTAGGAGACTTCTTGGTTTGTCTCAAGAGACTTACATTAAGACTATCCTAGAGCGATTCCGGATGCAGAGCTGCAAACCCATTGACACTCCTGTTGCAAAAGGCGAGAGCCTAAGCCTTAATATAGGTCCTAAGACTCAAGAAGAAAATGAAAAGATGGCCCGTGTTCCCTATGCAAATGCTGTTGGAAGCTTGATGTATGCTATGATGTGTACACGTTCTGACATTTGTTATGCAGTCGAATTGGTGAGTCGTTACCTATCCAACCCAAGACCAGCTCATTGGAAAGCAGTTAAGAGGATATTACGATATCTTAGAGGGACTGCAGATTACACACTTTGCTACCAGAGTTCAGATCTACATCTAGTTGGCTATTGTGATGCTGACTGGGGAGGAGACCAAGATGAGCGTAAGTCTACTTCAGGATATGCTTTCATGCTTAGCGATGGTGCTATTTCTTGGAGCAGTAAGAAGCAATCCTGCATCGCCTTATCGACCATGGAGGCTGAGTTTGTGGCTTGTTCATCTGCCGTTCAGGAAGCCGTGTGGTTGAGGAGATTCCTTCAGCATTTGGATGTTGTCACACACACTTCAGATCTTGTGACTATCCATTGTGACAGCATGGCTGCACTCGCTTACGCTAAGGATCCTAAATACCACGGCAGAACCAAACACATTGATGTGAGGTTCAACTTTATCAGAGACATTTTGGCGCAGAAAGAAGTGATCCTGGAGCACATCCCTACGAGTCGCATGGTTGCGGACCCTTTGACTAAGCCCATTGCTAGAGATATTTATCTTACTCATGTTAGGGCTTTAGGACTACGTAGGTGGTGATATTTTTATGTGTATTCAGTTGAAATCATTTTTTGGAGATATTTATGCCATTAGTATTCATATTTGTTTCTGTTACACATTTATGTTTACTACTTTTAGTAATGGTTTGTGAATTAGCATATACAAAATAATTAAATTGATGTTAGCAGGCAAGATTGGCTCACTCACACGAGCAATCGCCCTTAGCGCTGGGTAGCGAGTAAGGATGAGACTAGAAGCTAAAATTATCCACTAGCTATGTCGCCTTGGTTGGAGCCAAGATGAGGTCTTGTTAGAGACCGACCATGGATATGAGAGTACCCACTTTTCCATGATATGTCTGTTATGGATAGCCAGATGCGAGATCTCATTTGATGCCTGAGAGGCGAGCAAATAGAGAATTCGAGTTAGACGCTAGGAAGCGACTCGTGCGCTTAAGAGCGACTAGACTAAGATCTGTATGGTGTGTGAGTTTAACTACGAGATGGAGGATATACTTGACGGCGCACCTAGTAGCTTAGTAGAGAATGAGGAAATAATTCCTCAAGCTCCTAGGGACAGTGGGAGCGATCTACCTACCCATGGATTAGATCCAATGGATGAGGATTCTCAGGATTCTCAACTACGTAGAAGCAAACGTGGAGCTATACCCCGTCGCTACTTTGGTATGTTGCCTGTGGTCATGTATGATTCGGCTTTAAGGGACATTACTGGGAAAGCGGTCAATTTTAAATTGAATGATATGAGGGTGAAGGGAAGATCATCTAGTTCTACATCTCTGCTCTATATTCACTGTCGACAACTCACATCGCTCTTTATAGGATGCTGATTGGGTGTGAATATAATGCGGGACCTAGGAGAGTCAAACATGCTCTTTGAGGGATTAGAGATATTTTTGGACTGATGTAGCTAGATGGGTCTGGGTACATGAGACACTATTTCTGTTCTTTTTGGGTTGATGTCTCTATACTGACTCATATTGAGTTTCTAGTATAGAGCTCCCACATGCAGGTGTTCTCAGCGGTCGCACGGTGCATTGGCTAGTATGAGATTGTTCATTTTTTGGGAGATTGAGATAGTGATGTGGCAGTGTCATGCCAACTCATGTGCGAGTGGGAGATGTTAGTAATGGGCGCCCATGTGGCATGACCATTTGAATTTGAATTTGAATCTTATCCAAATAGGTTTTGAAATTGAATTCAAACCTATTTAGGATAACCACTTAGGATACAGATATTATCTCCATTAACTGATGTGGATAGATAATAATAACACATTATATATCTGGTATATGGGTGATTAAGAGAGAAACAACGTATGATCTGAGTTTTACCCATATACTGACTCTCTCCCAAAAACAACGATCAAGTCATTTGCACTGTGATTTGTTTGGATGATATTCATACTGTAATATCACTTCACTGCTGGGTTGGTTTATCAGTTTCTAGAAGCACGTGATTTACCCACGAGATCCTTCAATTCAGACTCTGTTTTATAAGGTATGACCATAATTTTTTATTCCGCTGCGTTATACTTTGTTTACATATATCAAACGCAAATCAAACTGAACAACAATAACAAGTGAGAATGAATCATAACTTTAAAGTTATTACCACCGAGATATAAAATCTGAAGCAAAGTCAAATTCCCAATTGCCTTCGGAATGAAACCAGTGAATTTATTGTAAGACAATGATATGATTGTGAAATCAATGATTTCAAGTGATGAGATGTTGAAGATGGTTGACGGTATAGACCCCAACAAATTATTATATCCCATGCGTAACGTCTTCAGTTTAGAAAGATGACCGATCTCTTCAGGAACTCTTCCCTCTAGAAAATTGGACCTTAAATTGAGAGACTCTAATGTTGATATGTTGCCAATGGAAGGTGGAACTGAACCAGTGAAACTGTTGTTTGCGAGATGCAAGTATTGAAGCTTGGGTAAGTTTCCAAACCATGACGGAACACCTCCACCGAAATTGTTGACACCAAAGTCGACAACATTTAGGCGACGTAATCGAGCCAACTCACTGGGAAGATGACCATGGAAAGTGTTGCTGGTGATGTTGAAGTACGATAGAAATGAGAGGTTTCCAATGTGGGGTGGGATGGTGCCTCTAATGCCCATGTTTGGGAGATTCAAGGCCACCACTCTGTAGTGGCGCTTGCCGCAAGAGACACCAATCCAGTCACAAACTGAGGTGGCTGAGGACCAGTTAGTTGCCAATATGTGGTGAGATGGTCGAAAGTGATATAGGATTTGAAAGCTAAAAGAGCAGATTGATCAGTGGTGGAGTTGGGAACATTCATAGCCAGGCAGGCTAAGAAACAGTGTGCCAAGGGCATCAAAGTTAAGCAGAGGAACCAAGTTTTCTCCATTAAGGCTTGGATGTTTGATATGGAATAATATGGGAAACAAGAGAGAACTGCCTTTAAATAATGAACTCAATCTAGTGTGTATAAATATTAAGTTTAGATGCACAGAACCAAACATGGAATGAAATATAGGGACTGGGTTGCATATCTGGGTCCTACATTCTATGAATCACATTTTTTTATGAAATATTCACTGCTGGAAAAATGACTTTTAGCGGCGTTTTAAAAACGCCGCTATATGTATGAAAAACGCCGCTAATTCCTTTAGTGACGCTTATCAAGGACATTGCAGTTAAGCAGAGGAACCGAGTTTTCTCCATTAAGGCTTGGATGTTTGATATGGAATAATATGGGAAGCAAGAGAGAACTGCCTTTAAATGATGAACTCAATCTAGTGTGCATAAATAGTAACTTTAGATGCACAGGACCAAACATGGAATGAAATATGGGAAGTGGGTTCCATATCTGGGTCCTACACCCTATGAATTACAATTTTTTTATGAAATATTTATGTCTCATTTTATATTTAATCTATGTATTAATAGCATCGTTAGTGTGTAAATATTAAAAATGTTACCGCACACACCTCAAAAGCGGTGCATATTTGTAACTAAAATTTTATGAATGACGTTTGATTTGAATTTAAATACATTAATAATAAAATCTTATATAAATTAATTAGTACAATTTTTTTTAGGTAACATCTTGGGCAATATTGTTGCCGTTCCATGCACCCATAAGTAATACTGAAAATTCATAAGAGAAATGTTAGGGATCATGAAATTTTTTTCATGAAATGATCATGAAAGATTTGTGACCCTTAGATTACCTTGATTAGTGTGTGATGCTTTATTCTAAGTGTAATCCAAAAGTTACAAATCTTTCACGATTATTTTCATGAAAGATTTTTTATGATACCTAACATTGCTGAATTCGAGAAATGTTAGGGATCATGAAAATTACACTTGGTATCTGTACTTTTATTAAATTTTACTTTGATTCCTTCACTTTCAATTGCAACAATTAATTTCTTATATTTTGAATCAAGTTCCAATCTCAATCTTCTATCCATCTACCGTCAATAAAGCTAACAGAAACTAAAAGTGAAGGAACGGAAAATGAGATTTTGATAAAAGTATAAGGATTAAAGTGAGATTTTAGTAAATATATAAGTGTGCTAATGAGACAACAAAAATATTATATATGCTTTAAATGACAAGTTCTGTTAACTTTGTTAACGGTACAGTTTGTTACAATTGAAAGTAAATGACTAAAGTGAGATTTTGAAAAAAGCATAGAGATACTAAGTATAATTAACCCAAGTCATAAATCTTACTCAGAAATTACCTAAAATTATCTAAATTATCGTACTGTGGTTCAAATTTATTTTACACATAAACTTCACATTACAAAATTCAATCTCAACCATACACTCCAATTCGGAGTAAATTGTGGGTAATTAGTTTTGGATCATATAAGGATAAATTAGACTTCTAGTTCTTATGTTTTGTCTCGTGTTATTTTGATCTCTATACCTTTAATGGGTTATATTTTGACCCTTAATTTTTACAATTTGTGTCAATTTAATCCAATTGACTATGCCATTAGAGTTTTTTTGACAAACACTGAGTTAGTATTGGTTAAACTCATTAAATTCGTTAAGTTTACGATTTTACCCTTAAAAACATGACACATGTCATTGATGTACGTATTTTTCATAAAATAATATTCACAGTTGTAATCAATTGGATCAAATTAAAACAAAGTAAAAAATTCAAAGTCAAAATTGATCCAATTAAAATTATAGAAACCAAAATGATGCAAGGAACAAAGTGAACTACTAGTATAATTTGTCCTTTATTTTTTTCTGATAAATTTTTTTTGTCATTCATGGAATTAGTGTGTATGAATCTGCCATTTTTACAGTTTGGCCTCCCAACCCCATTTGCATGATTTAAATGTCACATTTATATCTCCATTCACTCACTGTTCTAATTTCTCTCTCAACACTAATTCTTTCTCTCTCTAAATTGTCAACTAAAAAAAAAAAAATCTACACCCAAATTATGCTCTTAATGTCAAGATACGTGTGAAAATTTAATTAAAAAAATCGCACTTTTTTTAATGCTAAAATATACAATTTATGTTATTTTAATATACAATAATAGAATTTTAAAAATTATAAATCTTATTATATTTGACCCATATCATTTTTTAAGTGATTTAAATTTTGTCGATATAATTGAGATACCCCTCCACTATTTAATTAGATGTTTTAACAAAGTCATGCTACACACTCTGTTTGAGAAGTATACAACACGTAAGTTATCACATTTGTTGTATCATAATTAAATTATTTTTAGTCATAACAAAAAAAATAATTAATAATTAAATCTCACATAAGGTAAAATCAAACACCTTTTTCTAGTCATAAAAAGATCATGAATATTGCATCCAGAACATATAACAGACATAACAAAATGAAATGCGTATTATAAAATTTCTCTACACGAGAATCACGTTTTCTTTTTTTTCAAAAATTTTAACTCAACTTTTTGATTTTTTTAATAAAGTGAATCTTTTTTAATTGGATGTACGAAAAGTACATAAAATAAATGAACAATAATACATCAACTCAGCCTTTGAGTGCCTTTCACAGTATGAAATGTTGATTATTGTGGCATTTCTCTACATTTTTTGTGTGTTTCCTTTACTTTCTTTTGTTCCTTGTCCTCTTATGGGGCGAAGGCCTTAGGAAGACTTGGAAAAAATCAATAAAGCAGAACAAAAAGACCACAACCACCATCCCAACAAAATTACACAAATACTTCGTTGCTTCATGCGTGGGGACTGGTTTAAACAACAAAAATATATCCGTTTTCAGGTGTTCTTTGAAATGTACCTAAATATATATATTTTTTAATTAAACCAAATCGAAAATTTTAATTATTTTAATTTCAACTCTTAACTTTTAAAATAATATCAATTCTATCTATCCGTTATAATTATGCACTTTTGGTCAATGGTGCTGGACGGCAACATTAGTTATGAGCTAGAAAAGGAAGGAGATGGGTGGCAATGAGTTAGGAAAGAGGATGAATAACAGTAGATAGAGGAAAAAGGATGGAGTGATGGTACTGAACTGGGGAAGAGGATGTGTGGTTATAGATGACGGTAATAGTGAGAAATGACTATCAACCGTAATAAGAAAAAAAAAATTAAATTAATACAATTAAAAAGTTTGGAGCTTAAATTGAAATAATTAAAAAATTAAGATTTGATTTGTTATTAGAGTCAAATTTTGATATTTAAAAAATCAAAAAGTCTATGTCATTAGTTTAAAAAAAAAAAAAAAAAGCAGTATAACATTTTTTACTTATAATTTTTTTTTAATAACTTTCCAAATACATTAAATTTTTTTTTCATATCTTTTGAAAAATCATTTGAAAAAGGGAGATTTATTAGAAAATCTTTTTTTAAGTGTTTGTATTCCAATTAGTCCATAAGATATTCTTGTATTCCAAAAAGTCCTATTATTTGAATATTTGATCTACCAAATCATAATTCTCATATTTAAAGTATTTTATAGACATTTCTATCTTTACAAATATTTTTTTGCACAATTAGCAATTTGGTGATATGAACATTTGTATTTTACAATGTGAATATTCACATTGACGTGTGAATGTTCACATTGACATGTTAACATTCACACTGATGGTGTGAATATTTACATTGACGATGTGAAAATTCACATTATCGTTGTGAACATTCACATTACTCGTGTGAACATTTACATCACGAAACATTCATTTGTAAATGTGAATATTATTAAAGATATTTAGGTAATTATGTTATCCATTGGACTTATTAGAATATAAGAAAATAATGTGGACTAAATAGAACATAAGTAGTTGAAAAGAGATTTATGAAAAAGTGTCTCTTAAAAAAAACTAATCTTAAAAGCTCTCTCCAGTATTTATTTTTCCATGTTTATTGAATGTTTTAATATTTAGAATATGTTTTTTAAATTATGTTCTTGTCTACCAAAAAATTAGTTTAATTAGTTATTTCCTATTCGAATAACATTTTCTTATTATAAATAATGACTTTTGAGCAATACAATTTTTCATCAATAATTTTCAAATTTCTCCTGTGAGAATTTTTTCTCTTCCTTTTCATATTTAAGGTTCATGTTGTGGATTCATGTTTCTTTCTTGTGGACCGTTGTGATATCCTTTGATTTATTAAATTGATAATCCACTGAAACTTTATCTAACCGTTAACTTCGAGGTTCCAGAATTAATTGAGGTGCACGTAAGTGCCCCCCAGACACTTGAATATGAAAAAAATTGATAATCCCTCTTCCATGTAAGATTTTGCTACCTTGTGTTTTAATTTGGTAATCCTACCACTTATCACTAAAAATTTGGACGTGAAGTACACCCGCAAGGGCTATTTAAGCTCATTTTATGATCATTAGAGATATTTAAATAAATAAATAAATAAATAAAATTTGGAAATGAGCTAAAGATTCATGTGGTATGATTTTTCTTATTATTCAATTTCAACAAGGATGAAATCAATATATATATATATATATATATATTAAAATATAATGACTAAATTGTTGAGACGTTCTTTCACAAAGTGTGAAGGCTAACTTTGAATTTTATAGTCTCTCAATTTTTACCTTCCTTCCTTGACCAAATAATAAGAAGAAGAAGAAGAATAACAAGGTTTAGTAAATCT